TTATGAAGCGCCTCAGCAAAGTAGTGAACATCGTTCCTGTCATCGCCAAGGCCGACACGCTGACCCTGGAGGAGAGGGTCTACTTCAAACAGCGGGTAGGGCTCCCCACCTCCGTCCGGGCTGTCAGATACAACATGCCAGGTCTTCCTCAGGTGGAAGGGAAAGCCCAGAGGGGGTGGTCCCCACTGAGGGGACAGGTGGCCGCATCTTCCTTCCCCGCCGCCATCCATGCAGGAGGGCGCCCCCCGGGCTGCGGCTTCCTAACACGTCAGAGCCACCTGGGCGACCAGGACAACGAGGCCCCCGGGCCCCACAGAGCCTCCACCGCGGTGGGTGAGAGCCAGGAGGCCCTTTGTTCTAATCCCTGAAGCTGCGCACGCCCCCGTCAGGCCTCGGCCCCGGGCCCGGGTGCGGGGCATTTTCCCAGCAGGCCGAGGGGAGGACTGTGCCCTTCCCATCGTGCGTCTGCTGGAGGGAGCAGGCTGCGCGTGGCTGTGGGTCTGCGCTTAGGGCAGAAATGACAGCTGTGCACGGGAGTACCCACGTGTTGGGGAGCTGGTGCTGCAGACGGTGGTGACGGCCTGACGCAGACAGGTGCACCTGGGCTGCAGAGGTCCCGGGCAGCATCCGGGGCCCGCCGTGACAGAGGGTTTCCGGGTGGAGCTTGAGGGACGACTCAACAACCCGGAGCTGCTGTCTCCGGGGTGTGATGGGCTAGGGAGGGAGGACAGGGAGACGCTCGGGACTTGCTCGGGACTCGGGTGGCTGCACGTGTCTCCTGGCAGGCAGGCCTGCAGCTGCCTCTCCTCCACTCAGGAGGCACGAGAGCTGGAGTATCAGGGTCACCAGCCCTGTAGAGCCTGCCCTTGACCCCAGGCTGGGCCCCCTTACTTTCCGGAGGTCACAGTGCAGGCAGACCCCGGTGGGCCAGTCCAGCTTTCTGTGTGGACGGCGCCCACATCTCTCCCCTCTGGATCCCCAGATCACCGCGGACCTGCTGTCCAACGGCATCGACGTGTACCCCCAGAAGGAGTTTGATGAGGACTCGGAGGACCGGCTGGTGAATGAGAAGTTCCGAGTAAGTGGATTGGCCAGATGCCATTCCCAGAGGTCCCCCAGTTCCTGCTAGAGGACACGGCGGGGTCTTCCAGCCCGCTCCAGTGGGCCTGGGGAGATGGGTGGGATGGCCCTGAGCTATGAGAACGTATTCTCTGGGCCAGAGGGGGTCAGAGCCCAAGTGGTCACATGTGGCTCTCTCAGGCCAAGGGTTTTCGTTCCGGGGGGCCCCGGGCTCAGGACAGCTCTTCCCCGGGGCCCAGAGAGCGGACTGGCCTTTGCACACATGTGACCAGTGCTTCCTGTCCCTCCCCCAGGAGATGATCCCGTTTGCCGTGGTGGGCAGTGACCACGAGTACCAAGTGAATGGGAAGAGGATCCTTGGACGGAAAACCAAATGGGGCACCATCGAAGGTAATCGTCAAGCTGTTGGGGCCTCCAGACAGATCAGAAAACTCAAGCTGCTTCTGCTGGCCTGGAGCTTGGGCACCAAGGCCTCAGCTGGGTGATCCTGGGACCTCATCTGTTGCATTGGCCCACTCAGCCACTGGGAGGGGGCAGGTGGCTTGTCCAGGGCCCACAGCTGTTAGCTGATGGAGCTGTGCCTTCACCCCGATCTCCTAGGGGGCAGGGAAGTACTGCCAGAGAGGAAAGGAAGGAGCCATGAGGGGTCCTGCCAAGTCCTGGGTTCTGGTCCTGCTGTTTCATGGCCATGCTGTGTGACCCTGGACAACTTGCTCTACCTCTCTGGGCCTAGGACAGGGCTGGGCTATAGCTCTGTCCAGCTCTGAGAACCAGACGGCCCGCCCCTTGCACAAGTTCCCGGGACCCCCACATCTTGGTGTCTTGGGGCTGCTGTGACAAATTAGCACAGACTGGGCAGCTTGAAACAAATTTCTTCTCATAATTCTGGAGGCCAGAAGTCAAGGTGTCAGCAGGGTTCGTTCCTTTCAGAGGCCCTGAGGGAGAATGTGTTCCAGGCCTCTCTCCTGGTGGCTGTCAGCCATCCTCGGCGTCCCTTGGCTTGTCCCCAATCCCCACTCCACCCTCAGCCTTCTGACTGTGTCTGTCTTTTCCTCACAAGGACATTTGTCATTGGCTTAGCATCCACCCGAAATCCAGGGTCATCCCCTCTTATGCTCTTTACCTTAAGTATAAATTCAAAAACTCTTTCCAAGTAAGCTGCCATTCACAAGTCCTGAGGGTGTTGGCAGGTGGACATGGTTTGGGGGACACAGTTGAACCCCCTCGGGTGGTGGCGCCCGAGGTGGGCTGCACCTGGGCGTTTCTTCACCCTCCGCTCTGTTCCGTCCTCCCTCTTTAGAACAGAGGAGGGAGAAGGGATAGTTTGAAATGGGCCACTTTGTCTTCGATCCCGTGGCTGAGGGCCAGTATAGACAAGGTCTGGAAGGCGCTCAGCAGCCCCCACCCCCGGCCACCCCGGCCGTGAAATTGGGCAAGTCCCTTAATCCCCCAGGGCCTCAGTTTTCACCATCCTTAAAATGGGTACTATGTGCCAAGAGTTTAGTAAAAATGACAGAATGTCTCAAAGACTTTTAGAGCTTTGGGGGCAGCAAATGCTCTAAGAAAGTGATCACCGTGAAATCGGGTCAGTGAGCTCCCTCCCTCCCTCTCTCTCTCTCTCCCTCCATCCCTCTCTTCCCCTCCCTCCCTCTCTCCCCCTCCCTCCCCCTCCATGCTGGCTCACTTTACATGCATTATCTTGCTGCATGCTTAACCCCCCCACCCCCCCACCCCCGGCTGTCCCTGCACCCTCCTGCAGAGAGGCCCAGGGTGTGGCACCCAAAGGGCCCACCCCTGCACTGCTAAAGCCTGGGGGAGGCATGGAGCGGTACACAGACCCGCCTCGGGGCACCCACGTAGGTGCTGGTGGGTGGGTGCAGGATGGTGTTTTCTGAACCAGTGTCTGCTGGCTCTCTCCTGTCGCAGCTCTCCCCTCCTCTAGGGGTGTCTCTGTGTGTCCTCAACCAGGCTTTACCTGGGCTCGTCTGCCTTGGCTCCGCCTCGTCCTGAAATGTTGCTGTTTAGGAACTGTTCCACGGGCGCATGTTCCTGAGGGTGGAGAAGTGTGGGATAAGAAAGGCCCGTGGGGACGCAGGGATGCCGGAGAAGGTTGGGGGCAGCCCAGGGATGGACACGCCTCTGCTGCCCCCTGGCGGCCGGCTCTGGCCCACAGGCTCACCTTGCGGTGGTTGTGAGAAACAGTCCCGCGGCTCCTGTAGGGACGATTGCGCGGTGGTGGGTCTCCCATTCCTGCAGCCTTCATGAGGACCTGGAGGAAATCTCTGCCCCCCGTCTGCATAGCTGAACTTCACACTGGCGGCTCTTTATCTCCGGGGCCTTTTGCGCTCATAACTGACCAGAGGACGGGCCGCTCTGTGCTCGCCCCGGCGAGCCTGGTTAACACACGCTTTTGCCTCGTTCTTGCCTCCCCCCTCCATCCCTGGTCCTGCTTCTTTGATCTTTCCCCCCACTTGGTGTGCGCCATCCTGAGATGGTTTACTCCTCCTCGGAAACTACCTGGCGTCTTCAGGAGGAGGGTGGGGTGTAAGAAAGCACAGTTAACTAACTCATCGAGTCCTCTTGCGTCCCTGAGAGGTTGGGTGACATTTGAGCCCCACTTTACAGAAGAGGAAACTGAGGGTCAGAGAGGCCGGGATAAGTCACCCCAGGCCAGGAAAAGCAGCAGGGCTCTGTTCTTCCTGCCAGCTCTCACCGCTTCTCCACGTCAGGTAGCAATGCTACGTGAGTGTCCGTCCGCAGAAGGTTCTAGTGAGGGCCCCGCCCGTGCGGGTGGGGATGTGGGAGGAGGACCAGGGGTGTGGAGGGCGGAACCCAGGCAAGCCGCAGCTGGAATAAAATCAGGAGCGCCCCAGGGCTCAGCAAGGTGGAGGCACTGGGGCTTTCTCTCGCCAGCCCTGCCTGCCAGCTTGTGGGGGGGCGTGGGGGGGGACAGGCTCGTTCCCTGCGTTCTGAGCCCCGACTCCCTGAGATCACAGAAGAGGAGCCATGGTGGTGTCTCGGGTGTGGGGGTTAAACGTGCAGGCGCCCTGCACCTGACGCCTCTCCATTCGACCTCTGTGCCCGCCCGCCTCAGTGCAGACGGCGCCGCTTGCCGCCCGTGAAAGGGTCTGCACGTACGTGGTAATTATGCACACAAGTCACACAGCAGAGCCTTAAAGTGAACAGGGAGACTGCCACCAGCTCCGGCCCCAAGCCACCACCAGGGTGCCGCTCAAGGGGACCTGGGGGCACCTGGGGGCCCCTGCCTGCCCCGTCTTCCCACGTCCCCAGAGCTAACCCCTGCCCTGCAGCCCGTGCTTTGGACGTGTGTGTGTGGCCGGGAATGTAGGGTTCCTGAGCTCGATGTAAATGGTGACACGTGTGGGAGAACGCCCAGCGGGGCACAGGTTCTCGAAATGCCACCTTCGGTCCCTGCCTTGTTTCATTGCCCCCGCCCACCCCCGCTTTCAGGGTCCCCTGGGACATGCTGCTCTTCCCAGGAGACCCCCCTGGTCCCCAGCGATGGCCCCATTAGACCGGACCCCTCCAGAGGGTGGGCGCCTGGTCAGGCCTGCGTGCCTGTGGGTGCCCAGGGCTCCCCTGTGGGGCGGTGACTCCTGCCCCCACCAGCCCACCTGCCCGGGGTCCTCTTGACACCAGAACTACTGAGGGGAGGGGCTTCAAGTGACCTTAAAGCTCCTTTTGTCTCCTCTCCTCAGTTGAGAACACCACCCACTGTGAGTTTGCCTACCTTCGGGACCTCCTTATCAGGTGAGAGAGGGCTGTGGGGTGTCGGCCTTGGCCCCGAGAGGGCCCTAAATCAGAAGCGTGGGCACTGGGGGAGCAGGCAGAGGTCCCGGTCAGCAGCTGGCCCATCCTCCCCCAGGAAGACCTCGGAAGCCCATTGTCTAAAACACCTCCGTGGAAATGAAGCAGGAAGTAAAGAGCCTTCTTAATCTGTGGGAGAGAACCCGATGGGAGGGGGATGGGAAGGGGTTGGGGAAGGGGTCGGGTTCTGATCACCGCAGCGTGAGTCCATTAGAGTCAGGGCCCCAGGGGGTCTTTTGTGCTGGGCATGGGGGTGGTGTCCCCCACTCCCATCCCAGTGTCTTCTGACCCCACCGCTCTGACCTAGCTGAGGCTTCTCCTTGGTTTTCCTTGAGCCCAGGCAAGGAGTGGCCATCCTTAAGCCATTAGAGAGGGTGCCAGGTGCCTGGGCCTGGGCAGGTAATTGGAGACAGTAGGGGCTCCTCATGGCACCGGAGGCTCCCAGCTTCTCAGTCAGCAGGCGGATGCATCCTAGGCGTGAAGTCCAGTGGAGGGACAAGGCCATCTCTTGGGGCCTCTAGGTTAGGAAGTGGAGTGTGGCTTGTGGGAGTGACCCCACCGTGTTGGAGAGCCTGGCTGCAAAAGATGCCCACCACAAGGCCTTCCCACCCCCCTTTCCAGTCTCCCCTGCTGGGCTGCGAGGGAGGGAGAACTTGAGCACAGGACTGGTAGGGTCACCTAGCACTCCAGCTCAGGCCGTAGCCCCAGGACCGCTGGTCCCCCACTGGCCACTGGCCTGGTGCTTCTCGATGGCAGCAAGGACATGCTGGTGCTGTCCCCTCTGTGCACCCAGCCACTATCCTTGCACTGGCCACAGGCTTGACACAGACAGAGGGGACACGTGCATTAGAACAGAGCTGTTCAGAGGAGGTCTGGGTCACCATGGAGACAGCCCCACACCCCTGCCATACCCAGGCCTGGGCCGGCTCGCTGGGCCTCACAAGCCCTTCCGGGGGCCCCCTGAAAGCCAAGCAGGGGGCATGGGGTGCAAGGGGGGCAGGCAGTGGGAGTCCTGGGTCCGAGCCAGCGGGATCAGCATCCGCGACCTCCCTGTGTCCCCCCAGGACGCACATGCAGAACATCAAGGACATCACCAGCAGCATCCACTTCGAAGCCTACCGGGTGAAGCGTCTGCACGAAGGCAGCAATGCCATGT